GTACCTAGTGTTTGAAAATTTCATGAAATTTAAAAAAATGAAATATTTCGTGAAATATTTCATGAAATATTTCAAAATATGTGAAATATTTCAGTATTTTAATATATTTTGTTTTATTTTTAAATAAGTTTTATTTTTACATATAATTGTCATAAATTACCTTCATCACTATATGGTACCTGTATGTATACCTAACCTTTGGTATTATACATTTAAATTGGTATTCAAATTTTTTAAATATTTTAATGTTTAAATGATACAAGTAGGTATACAATATTATACATGTATATTGTATACTTACTGAATTCTGACATTAGAATTTAGAACACTGAATATTGTGTTAAAAAAATATATAAATTGTGTTTTTATTTGTGTTAAAAAAATTTCAATGTTTCACGTTTTTGTGAAATATTTCACAACTTAGTGAAATATTTCATGAAATATTTCTCATACTTCAAACACTAGTGATAAGCCTATTTCCACTAACGATATGAACAACACCAACAGTCCTTCTCAACACACACTTAACAATCAAACATTTGCAATTTAGTATTTTCAAAATCTCCAAAATTCTACACCAAACACGATTTAGAATCATATAAATCTATACTAATTCAAACATCAGCGCATCTAAAAACAGATGGGAAAGAAATTAAAAAAGGTGGAAATAAATATTATGATATAATCCAAAATTTATTTCTAGCGGGTAGAGGTCTATCTTTGAAATTACAAAAACATAGTTTAGTTTACTGGAACGATCCTAACGAACTAGTCGATAGATTGCGGTTACTATTAGGCATTAGCGTCAAAAGAGGCTGGTAATACAGGTGTTTCGAACGAAATAATTTCCATTTTTGAAGAACTGTATGAAGCGGGAATAATAAAACGTATTCCAAATGTCTAAACGCGAAATTGCGAACGAACTACACAAACCTGCTAGAAAAAATTATACAAGACGTAGAGTTAATGTTTATGGCAAAAACGATCTATGGCAGGCCGACTTGGTCGAAATGATACCATATTCAAAACAAAACAAGGGATACAAGTATATTTTGTGCGTCATAGACTGTTTTACAAAGTTTGCTTGGGCCATAGAATTAAAATCTAAAACTGCTAAAGAAGTTTCAAATGTAATGTCAAAAATACTGATTAAACGTTCACCAAAACTTTTACAAGTCAACAATGGAAAAGAATTTTACAATACAACATTCGACGCGTTGATGAAGAAATATAATATGCACAAAATAGTAGAAAAGAACGTATAGTAGAACGAAAGCGTGCATCGTGGAACGTCTGAACAGAACAATTAAAGGAAAAATGTATAGAGAGTTTACGGCACGTGGTTCGCACGAATGGATATCAATTTTACCTTCATTGATTAACGAGTACAACAACTCAAAACATAGGACAATAGGTATGACACCAGTGCAAGCTGATGCAAATCCGGAGGCTGTCGTTATTAAACAACGAAAATGTATTAATGGACCAATCAAATTTAACGTAGGTGACGACGTGCGAATAAGCACATATAAAAGTGTATTTGCAAAAGGTTATTTACCTAGCTGGTCTACCGAAATATTTAAAATTGTTAAAATAAACGATACGTCACCTACTACTTATCAGTTGCAAGATTATACGGGGAAACCGATTGCAGGCTGTTTTTACTCTGAGGAAATTCAAAAAACCAATCACCCAAACGATTATTTAGTTGAAAAAATTATCCGTAGGAAGGGAAAGCAAATGTTTGTAAAATGGTTATGGTTTGATAATACACACAATAGTTGGATAAATATGCGTGACGTTAAAAAATAGCGTCAGTCGAGCTACAGACATGAACGTGTTCGGTAGTTCTCAGTCTAGTGAAACTAATACATTTTTAGTAAATCTCGAACAAATTGTTAAATCGTATTTGAATAAACTAGATAAATTCGAAAATTCAGTTAAAGAACAAAGAGAACAAATTGTTACATTTCAATCACTACAAATAGATTACATGAAAAGAATTGACGCATCCTTACAACATATTAAAGAAAATACAGACAAGTTGAAAAATAATCCTAATCCCCATAAACCATAATGTCTTCAGCCATCTTGGACATGCGATGCGTACTTAGCGTTAAAAATAAATATATGATTAAATAAATGTCTATAGTCGACACAGAAACATGGGCAACTCAGCATTGGATTTTTAAACATTCAAACTCAATGCAGGATAACAAAAGTCGTAAAACTAATAAATGGTTGGAACGTAATTATCATCAACTGGCTATAGAATACGGTGATATCGAGTACGAAGAAGTAGGTAAAATATTGAATTCATTCAAATTCAGATGCATATACATCAAAGGTGAACAGAAAAAACAAGTTCTTATGGAGTATATACCACACGTAGCACTCATCAACATCGAAAACTTAGGCTGCCCTCGTTTGGATCAAATATGCGATGACGAAACTCTACCTTGTTGTATTTTTCATATGGAATTTAATCCTAAACATTGTACATTTTATAAAGTTTTTGCTATAAGAAAATGGTTTATAAATAATTCTTAAAAATATAACAATAAACATAATAATATTTTAACATTGGTTTTTTTTATTTTACATAGGTAACCTAACATTTTCAATATATATATATAAATGGTATTTTACAATATAAAAAAAATATATACATGGTAATTTACAATATAACAAAATATTCATGCGATTTTACAATATAACAATATGTATATATACAACAAAATATATATATACATGGTATTTTACAATACAACAAAATATATATATATATACATGGTATTTTACAATATAACAATATATATATATACTTGGTATTTTACAATATAACAAAATATATATATACTTGGTATTTTACAATATAACAAAATATATAACATGCTAATAATTACAATAAAACTATATACAGGTTATAAATTATGTTATCCAGTGTAGAAGCCATTTTTAGGTATAAATCACTATACTCGCCCAACGTCTTGCAATTGAAGTGGTCCCAGACCTGAAAAACACAATAATTTTAAAATATAGATCTAAATATGCGCACAGCGTATAACATACCTCCTTGGCGTGATCGAACTCTTCCTCCTTTATCCCCGACTCGGTCAATGTGCTGTAAAAGTCTCTCTTCCGTGGTAATAGTCTATCGTCCAACTTGCCCCAGCTATCGGTGTACTCATACGGGTACACCCCCTTCCGTGTCACGAGCGGCATATCATCTCCAGTAAACACTTTGGCTGTTTCACGAAAGTTTTCAGGACCTGGTGTTATCAGATTTTTGGCGAGTGAAGATAGACTCGTTGCCATGAAGCGGAATGTATCGATAAACCGAATAGAAAATTTGCTTGACACATATTTCGTAAACGAAATATATTTTTCCTCACTGTTGGGTATTACTTTTATAGTTTGGGTGTCATGACCAAGTTCTGTGACTATCAGGTGTGCGTCGTAGTTGGACAAGTTGTGTAAAAATATCGGTACAAAGTTTTGTCTTTGCAATTTTTGGTTGCATACATTACATAGAGCTTGACGGTATTTCCCCGATAGATGGCAATGGTCAGCTGTCTTGTGACGAAGTATCTCCGAGGGTGGGGTAAACTCGATTTTACATAAATTGCAATGCGTTGCTGCTTCGTGAGCCTTGGCGTCATCCACGGACATGTTTATAGATATATTGGTCTTTAGTAACTTTTCAATCTTCAACGATATATCCGTCACGGTATCGACGAAATGTCTAGCCACATCAGGCTGACTCTCACTTCCTCGGTAGATCACTGGTGCTGTTGGAATGTCGTGTTCAATCAATAGCTCTGTCGGTACATCTTCACTCGCCTTCACAATGAGACCATAGCTCATAGCCTCATGTTTGTGAACAATCTTCGTATTTTCCCCCTTCATCTATTCCGTCTTTACTAGCAGTGTCTCAAAATCAGTGTAGATGGTAAATGGGTGTCTCTGGTGTTTTGCCACGCATCAAACATAACACAATCACCCTCCTTAGGCATTTTAGGCAGTATTGGTTTGTGCGCCCCGCAAATCAACTTATGCTGCTTCAACGCTTCCTGCCCACTCAGCTTGTGTTTGTATATTAGTAGTATGATTTGGTACGTTCAGACCGCTGACCCTTCTGACCGCTGACCCTTCTGACCTTCTGGCCTTCTGACCGTCTGACCCTTCTGATCCTTATGACCATTGGCCGCCGCACTTCGCGTACGTGCGCGACTTATATTTTTGACCACCGGCGGCACATTGCTCACGTGTGCGACATGTATATTTTCCCCGCCACCCTTTTCCCTGCCATCATCGGCCGCCGCACCTTTCGTACGCATGCGCATCGTTCAGATGACCACCGGCTATTAGTATACATCCCCTATCACTGACGCATGCGCACTAAAATTTCCCTCACCTGTTAAACTTCTAGAGACTACACCCGCACCTATCGTACGCATGCGCACTGTAAAATTCCCCCATGGGTTTAACCATAATAATATCACCTTTTACAAGAAATATACATTCATTATATAAAATAAAAATTATATTTTTTTTACAAGAAATATACATTCATTATATAAAATAAAAATTATATTTTTTTTTACAAGAAATATACATTCATTCATTATACATAATATTTTTTACAAGAAATATACATTCATTATATAAAATAAAAATTATATTTTTTTTTTACAAGAAATATACATTCATTCATTCATTATACACAATATTTTTTTACAAGAAATAAACAATCTAAACATAATTATACACAATATTTTTTACAAGAAATATACAGTCTAAACATATTATACACAATATTTTTTACAAGAAATATACATTCATTCATTCATTATACACAATATTTTTTACAAGAAATAAACAATCTAAACATAATTATACACAATATTTTTTACAAGAAATATACAGTCTAAACATATTATACACAATATTTTTTACAAGAAATATACAATCTAAACATATTATTATATAAAGCAAAATTAGTTTTTCCCCTCGTATTCGTCCATATGTCGATTCAATTCTTCGTCTAAAAAACAAAATATAAAATAATAATATTAGGTTTATTGAAAATAATAATATTATATAAAACAAAAGATAAATTATATTTAAAAAATAAGTTTTTCTGTAATTTACCTTCGTTAGTATCCATATTTAAAACTTCGTCATCGCTCCATACTGCTTCATGTGCCATCATGTGTAGTTCCAGGATATCATTATACCCATCCTCAGCCCAATCAGTAGCATTTTGGCTGGGTTGAGTGGTATTTGATATCCTCCCGAAAATTAGTACGTCAAATTCCGGGAGTACCTGGGGCCGTACTATAATGTTTAGCACACTAGGGGAGATGGGCGATAAAGATTGGAACCATTCATTTATCTCAGATTGCCGCGATGAATTTGAAAATACCACGCCGCCTACAACATCCAGCGGCAATATATCTGGTGAAGACTGTATTGATGAAAACGAACGAAGCCATTCGTCCATTTGAGATTGTCGCAGCGGTGATGGTGAAAACTTGTTACGGAACAAACACCTACAAAGTAAAGTAATTTCAACAATAACAAAAATTACAAAAATGCCGAGTGAAAATGACATCGATGATACCTAACAGTCCATAAGATCGATGTCACATTCATCCGTCAAACCAAAGACAACCACCAATGAAGATAGCGCTCGGAACGGTCAACGCGTATATATACGGGTACATTTCACCGACCGAGCAACAGTACTCTTTCAACCTTCAAAACATCAAGACTTCAGAAATCAACACACTCTGCCGTCTATTGAAGGATAAGAGGAGAACGACCGACACCGAAGAGGAACGCCGCGACCGCCACAACCGGACACCGCTAGTGAAGACTGCCCCAAGCTCGACCGGTTCAGTCCAGACCATCGGACGACGACATAACCAGCCGCCGACAACGCCGACGGATCAAGACAGTGGAGCGGGGCTGACCCGATACGAAGCAGCGATACGAACTCTTGGCTACCAACCATCGTCCAAGGAGCCGACGACTATCCTCAAGTCCACCAACCAACCCGGAGTGCGTCAAAGAACCACGCATCAGCCCGTATACTCGGTGGAAATTTAAACGGTCCTTTTCAGGGCCACCCACGACGCACAGTCAGTCCCCCCAAGCGCGCCTGCCTAGGCCACGCTTTCCGCCCGGGCCTAGTGATCAACGCCACTTTTTCGAGCGGGCTGATCATAGCCACCCGGGCCGTCCCGATAATGTATAATAAAAACATACTATACCCGGTTGTGTAAGACCACCTCGTACCCGTATCAGATAGTCACGGGAACGTGAGTAGTCAAAACCCTCTTATTTGTAACTATATGTTCATGTAAAATAAATTGAGTAATTACACAAAAGCCCACTTGTATAAATTATTAAAGTGACGGAGCATCGGCCTCGGTAGCTCCGTTACAAACTCCATGTTCTGTATCAGGTTCAATGCGTATACCCCCGGTGTTGTAGGTGTAGAAGGTTGTCTAACTTGTGATAATGAACTATGCAATTGTTGTTCGGTAAAGAAACCGCTATCTTGAGTCTAAATTAAAAATTATTGTTTATTTTATATTATATTATATTATATTATATTGAGTCTAAGACATAATTTTTATTTAACACTTACCATATCTGAATATCCGATGGGGCGACGCTGCGGGAGTGGGCTAACGGGTAATAGTTGCGGGCTAAACCACCATGGTGTTTGCGCACCTTGTAGACTCCACGGTCTTTGCGCATCTTGTAGACTTTCATCTAACGCTGGAGCAATGGGCCTTGGGGTGACGGTCCTTGGGGTGACGGGCCTTGGGGTGACGGGCCTTGATGGCGGTCTATTAACCCGCTAAAACCAGATTATACACATTTTATAAATAATTTAATTTAAATATAATAATATTAAAAAATATATACTTACTAATACAAATGTCCTCTCTGGTGACATATAAAAAAAAGGCGGTGGATCTTCTGGAGGAGTCGCTACAAGATCCCTATTGTAGCTATCCCCGTTAAACCACGACAAACTAGACGATGAATCTTTAGACATCTAAAAATCGATTTATACGTAAGTCTTGAATAATGTGAAAAAAAAAAAAAATACTTACGTCTTCCAGGCGAGAGATGCAATAATCACGAACAAAATAATAAATATTACACGTAAATAAAAGTCGTATTTATATTTATAAGACTAAGAGTATACTGAGCTGACGAAAGGCACAAAAAGTATAACAAGAAAATCACAACTAACTATATAACCGTCGTCGCGACATATGGTGCCTTTTATTCGTATAAGCCAAAATTTGCGACGACTTCCCTTTCCATAATTCAACGAAAACCTACTACCTAAGGAATAATACACATCTAACTATATATCAGCCGTCGCGACAATATGGCGCCTATTACTCGTATAATTCCACCAAAATCTGCGACGACTTTCTCTTTCCATAATTCAACTAAAGCCTGCAAGCTAGGGGGATAATACATATTCGTTCAGATGACCACCGGCTATTAGTATACATCCCCTATCACTGAAGCATGCGCACTAAAATTTCCCTCACCTGTTAAACTTCTAGAGACTTCACCCCAGGTGACCCCCGCACCTTTCGTACGCACGCGCATCGTTCAGATGACCACCGGCTATTAGTATACATCCTCTATCACTGACGCATGCGCACTAAAATTTCCCTCACCTGTTAAACTTCTAGAGACTTCACCCCAGGTGACCCCCGCACCTTTCGTACGCACGCGCATCGTTCAGATGACCACCGACTATTAGTATACATCCTCTATCACTGACGCATGCGCACTAAAATTACCCCGGCCTGTTAAACTTCTAGAGACTTCACCCGAGGTCACCCCCGCACCTTTCGTACGCATGCGCACTGTAAAATTTTATAATTTTCAAAAATGTCCTGAAAGATCCTACTACATCCGTTTAGTACGTCTACAGTCTTAAACCGTTGTACACGTATATTTTTCGTCAGCGAACTAAGCCATTAAAATATTGTTAGCAAGTTTTTATTTTACTGTTCAACATTATTTACACGGAACTCAGTGTTTATTTATTTTTGTTTTGCTACCTTATAAAATTTGAAAAAATGTTTAAATGCGAGCAGTGTCCATCCACGTTTACGCGTAAGGGTAATTTGACTGCTCACCAAAAAAATCACAATGGTGTTCGTTTTTCTTGTACTATTTGCGCGTCGACATTCGGCTACAAGACACATCTCAATAGGCATATGAAAAATGTGCATGGTATGTATATTTTATGAGCTGTTAGGTTAAGTTAGCTTTATTTAATATTTAATTCAATATTTATTTTTTAAGCTGTAGCACGTGTCAGACCTCAACTAGGTGAAATCGCACCGAATAATGTTGTATCGGAAGGTTCATCATCATATCAAGTTCAAAATGTCGATAATAATGAACTGGATGAATATTTTAACGATGGGTATGATAATATGCTCGCTGAAATGACTGAAAATGATCAAGGTGTCGTGAACGTTCCGGCTCAACGTCAACCAGCACAGCAAAGTGTTACCCGGCCTACTCCACAAGGTCATATTCAGATTGCTCCTCGAATATTTGTCCCAGATGTTCCGGCCGGTGGATCGAATGCGGCATCCGACGACGATATTATTTGTATGAAGGCAATGGACGAATTTGAGAATACAGGTTAGTTTTATTTATAAGAATTAATTAGATTTTTAAAAGACCTGCTGATTTTTCCTCCGTAGATTATTTTTTTTTTTGAAAATTATTATCGTAAGATTTAAAAAAGATTTTTGAAATACGTGACATTAAATTATTTGTAAATGTCACAAGTTAAAAAGATAAATAGCTGTTTCATTAGATTTTATTTATCAGTCGTGGGGTTAATTAGATTTTTAATAGATTAGTCAATTTATTATTTTCATTAGATATTAATATTAGGTTTTTTTTTTTTTTAAAGATTCTTTCACTACCAACGTTAACGGGAAACGGGTTTCCTCTGCCAACACCACGTCGGCTGCTAGGGCGAAAAAAGCGCGCATGAGCCTAGTACAGTCCCCCGGTTTCGTTGAGATTTCGTCCTCAGCAAATAGAAAAATTGTATGGTACTATGCCAAAAATGTTTATAATACAATGATTTATACCGAGTTTCTTCGATCGCTCGAACCCGAGCTAAATAAAATATTGAAAACACGCGTTCAGCAAGGGGCGATTAAATTTAACCTTAAGCTCTAGGCGACCTATAACCGGGTTAACGTACCAAATTCGTCGGAGAACCGAGCGTTTAAAACAACAGCAACCGAAATTTATCCGGATAGTGATATCGACTCAATAGTAGAACAAGCGTTCGTGAAATTATTAGCTGAGGAAGACGCTTATGTTTCTCGCGGTAGTGGCTTTACTTTGGAAGCCATAGACGGCTTATTATTGGGAATATATAACTACACACCAATGACTGGGTCGTCATATATTGAATTACCAGCATACATCGACAGGAAACGGGGCACCATCAACCCACAAAACAATGACCAGCAATGTTTCAAGTGGGCGATTCTTGCGAGGCATGTGGCCGATAATTTATCGGATAAATATAAATATTGTGTCGGTAAAAACTATACACAACACGAAGCAAAATATAATTTTGATGATATTTCGTTTCCAACACCACTATCGGATATTTCTAAATTTGAAAAAAATAATCCGAACGTCACTGTGAATGTGTATGGGTTGGACAAAAAGTTCCAGCCACCGCGTAAATATCCGACGTACGAGGTGTACCCGCTACGTGTCGTTGATGAGGAGAAAACCAACCACTTTGATCTGTTGTTGGTGACGGACGGCGACAACTCTCACTACGTGTATATATCGAATTTTTCCAGGCTGGTCCGCGCTCAGAAAACCAGACACACTGGGAGTGTCGTGTTCTATAAGAGATGTTTTACGAGTTTCGACGACAGACGTCATAAATTCAAGTTGAGTGGGCAGGAGGCCCTGGACCAACACAAATTGATTTGCGGCGCGCACAAACCAATTTTACCAGAGATGCCTAAGGAGGGTGATTGTGCTGAGTTCAAGGCGTGGAAAAACACGGTTAGGCACCCGTTTGTCATTTACGCGGATTTTGAGGCGATCTTGACGAAGACGGAGGAGGCAAGAGGGGGTAGTACCACGATTACTCAGAAACACGAAGCTATGAGTTATGGGTTTTTGGTGAAAGCGAGCGATGACGTACCGGCAGAGTTATTGCTTCAACACCAGATACCGGCGGGGCCGGTAATCTACAGAGGCAGCGAAGACAGGACGGACGTAGCGAGACATTTTGTGGAGGCGATAGTTGAGGTGGCCCAGAAAATTGAAAATCTCATGAAGACGAATATTCCGTTAAAAATGGCTGAGGGTGAAGAAAAAACACATCAAGAGTGTATTAAGTGTAATTTATGCAAATGTATATTAGTCGGGGGCGATAAGGTTAGGGATCATGATCATTTGACAGGCAAATTTAGGCAGACCTTGTGCTCTAGGTGTAACTTAGAGTTGCAACAGCCTAAATTTGTACCTGTCTTTTTTCATAATCTCACAAACTACGACTCGCACTTCATAATCACTGAACTTGGGTATGATACTAAGACTATCAACGTTATACCGAACAGTGAAGAGAAATATATATCTTTTTCGAAATATATAAGTATTACCTTCACTGTTCGGTTTATCGACACGTTTCGGTTTATGGCGTCGTGTCTGTCGTCCCTGGCTGAAAATTTGCTTACACCCGAACATGAGAAATTCCGTGAGACAGCCAAACATTTTGTCACCGGAGATATGCCGCTCGTGACTCGTAAGGGGGTGTACCCGTACGAGTACACGGATAGTTGGGAGCGGCTAGAGGATACTAGGTTACCGAGTAAGAGGAGCTTTTACAGTACGTTAACAGAGACCGGGATTAAGGAGAGCGAATTTGACCATGCTAAGGAGGTATGTATACACTTCGCACGTATTTAGATCTATATTTGAAAATTGTTGTGTGTTACAGGTATGGAGTCATTTTAACTGTAGGACGCTCGGTGATTATTCCGACCTGTACCTGAAAATTGACGTGTTACTGCTGGCGGATGTTTTTGAGAACTTCCGCGACTTGTGTATGAAGACGTATAACCTGGACGCCGCCCATTATTTCACCGCCCCAGGCTTAAGTTTCGATGCGATGCTTAAGTTCACGGGGCAAAAGCTCCAGTTATTGCATGATTACGACATGTTGTTGATGTTCGAAAATGGTCAGTATATTATTTTTTAAATGTGTATTTAATAATCTTATATATTTGTTATAGGTATACGTGGAGGATTGGTGCAGGCGAGCAAGCGATATGCGACGGCGAACAATGTAAAGACTCCGGGGTATGACGAAACGAAGGAGAAATCGTGGATCATATATCAGGACTGTGAGTATATTTTTTTCAAAACTTTTTAATATTTTTCTTACTTAATAATATTTTTTAAATTTTATAGGTAACAACTTGTACGGGTGGGCAATGTCTCAGTACATGCCGTACGGTGGGTTCAACTGGGTTGAACCTACATTGAATGGGTTCAACGATTTAGACGACACTTCACCCATAGGACGAGTGTATGAGGTGGACGTGTCGTATCCAAGACACTTGCATAACGGACATAACGACCTGCCTTTCCTGCCGCAAAACAGCGTGCCTCGAGGCTCGAAGGTTAGGAAGTTGATGGCGACATTTGAGAAAAAGGAGAATTACATCGTACATTATAGGAACCTACAGCAGGCCATTAAGAATGGTTTGATAGTTGAAAAAGTAAATATTTGTATTTTATATGATTTTAAACAGATTTTTAACATTTCTCTTATTTTGTATAGGTACATAGAGTGATACAGTTTAACCAGTCAGATTGGTTGGCTAAATATATAGATTTAAACACCGAAATGAGGAAAAAGGCTAGGGACGCATTTGAGAAAGACTTCTTTAAATTGATGAATAACGCTGTATTTGGTAGGTTACTTTTAAATTTTTAAAACTTTTAAAACTTTTTAAAAATTTACTATTGTGCAGGAAAAACTATGGAATCGAAACGAAAACAGCTGAAAATAGAGTTGGTATCCTGTGAGAGGAGGTTACAGAAATGTATTAATAAAACTACTTTTAAACACTGCACTAATTACAATGAAAACCTCAATGCAGTAGCGTTGGAGAATAAGATAATTAAATTTGACAAACCTATATATATTGGTAAATATACTTTTAAATTATATTGCTAAATATACTTTTAAATTATATAATACATTTATTTTCTATAGGATTTTCAGTGCTGGATATCAGTAAGACGTATATGTATGACTATCACTACAATGTTATGCAGAAGCACTATAGGGATAAAATTAAGCTAATGTACACTGATACAGGTAAATATATTAAAACTTATCTAATTTTCATATATTATATTTATTTTTATTTTTAGATTCGTTGATATACCATATTAAAACTACTGATTTTTATGAAGACTTGGCAGCTAATCACAGCTTGTTGGATCGAATGGATACAGCTAACCTACCCAGTGATCATCCATGTTATGTTGCAGTTAGAAAGAAGGAACCTGGGTACTTCTCAGATGAAGTAGATGCTGATATAATCACCGAATTTTGTGCATTGAGGGCAAAGTCCTACGCTTTTAATGTATATGCAGGAGAAGAGGATGCGGTGAGAGATAAGGACGACAAGGATAAAGTTGGTGGTGAAAAAATTAAAGCAAAGGGGATACCAGGTACTCCCAGAATTTGACGTACTAATTTTCGGGAGGATATTAATTACCACTCAACCCAGTCAAAATGTACCCTGGAACTTCACAGGTTGGCAAATGAAGCAGTATGGAAGCAGTATGGTTTTGGTATGGCTATATATATATTAACTCGGAAATTTTTGGATCTACTCTTGATGCGCCTGTATTTGGTAAAAGTTGTCAGACAACTAAAGCTCATCCAATATTTTAACCTAACCTTTTCGGTTGCGGCTTTTGAGCATGAATTCCGGGGTCTACGGCAGGAATTGGCAGGAATTGAGAACTAAATATTGGCGTTGGAAAAAGTCAAATGGGTGGGGGTGGGGAAATGTACGTCCCAGGTACTCCCAGAATTTGACGTACTAATTTTCGGGAGGATATTAAATACCACTCAACCCAGTCAAAAAGTAACTGATTTGGCTGAGGATGGCTATAATGATATCCTGGAACCTCACATGTTGGCACATGAAGCAGTATGGAATCAGTAAGGTTTTGGTAAGGCCAGGAATACGCCAGAATTTGGTAAGTGTAACTTTGGTAGTAAGCCCACAGCACTTGCAGTGTTGAGTCAAACACAGACTACATCACTATTGAATCAGACTGAACAGCATATTACGGAAATTTTTGGATCTACTCTTGATGCGTCTGTATTTGGTAAATGTTGTCAGACAACTAACGCAAATCCAATATTTTAACCTAACCTTTTCGGGGGCGGCTTTTGAGCATGAATTCCGGGGTCTACGGCAGGAATTGGCAGGAGTTGAGCACTAAATATTGGCGTTGGAAAAAGTTGAAAAAGCCAAATGGGTGGGGGTGGGGAAATGTACGTCCCAGGTACTCCCAGAATTTGACGTACTAATTTTCGGGAGGATATTAAATACCACTCAACCCAGTCAAAATGTAACTGATTGGGCTGAGGATGGCTATAATGATATCCTGGAACCTCACATGTTGGCACATGAAGCAGTATGGAAGCAGTATGGTTTTGGTAAGGCCAGGAACACGCCAGAATTTGGTAAGTGTAACTTTGGTAGTAAGCCCACAGCACTTGCAGTGTTGAGTCAAACACAGACTACATCACTATTGAATCAGACTGAACAGCATATTACGGAAATTTTTGGATCTACTCTTGATGCGCCTGTATTTGGTAAAAGTTGTCAGACAACTAACGCTCATCCAATATTTTAACCTAGCCTTTTCGGGGGCGGCTTTTGAGCATGAATTCCGGGGTCTACGGCAGGAATTGGCATAAATTGAGCACTAAATATTGGCGTTGGAAAAAGTTGAAAAAGTCAAATGGGTGGGTTGGGGAAATGTACGTCCCAGGTACTCCCAGAATTTGACGTACTAATTTTCGGGAGGATATTAATTACCACTCAACCCAGTCAAAATGTAACTGATTGGGCTGAGGATGGCTATAATGATATCCTTTAACCTCACATGTTGGCACATGAAGCAGTATGGAAGCAGTATGGTTTTGGTAAGGCCAGGAATACGCCAGAATTTGGTAAGTGTAACTTTGGTAGTAAGCCCACAGCACTTGCAGTGTTGAGTCAAACACAGACTACATCACTATTGAATCAGACTGAACAGCATATTACGGAAATTTTTGGATCTACTCTTGATGCGTCTGTATTTGGTAAATGTTGTCAGACAACTAACGCAAATCCAATATTTTAACCTAACCTTTTCGGGGGCGGCTTTTGAGCATGAATTCCGGGGTCTACGGCAGGAATTGGCAGGAGTTGAGCACTAAATATTGGCGTTGGTAAAAGTTGAAAAAGTCAAATGGGTGGGGGTGGGGAAATGTACGTCCCAGGTACTCCCAGAATTTGACGTACTAATTTTCGGGAGGATATTAAATACCACTCAACCCAGTCAAAATGTAACTGATTGGGCTGAGGATGGCTATAATGATATCCTGGAACCTCACATGTTGGCACATGAAGCAGTATGGAAGCAGTATGGTTTTGGTAAGGCCAGGAACACGCCAGAATTTGGTAAGTGTAACTTTGGTAGTAAGCCCACAGCACTTGCAGTGTTGAGTCAAACACAGACTACATCACTATTGAATCAGACTGAACAGCATATTACGGAAATTTTTGGATCTACTCTTGATGCGCCTGTATTTGGTAAAAGTTGTCAGACAACTAACGCTCATCCAATATTTTAACCTAGCCTTTTCGGGGGCGGCTTTTGAGCATGAATTCCGGGGTCTACGGCAGGAATTGGCAGGAATTGAGCACTAAATATTGGCGTTGGAAAAAGTTGAAAAAGTCAAATGGGTGGGGGTGGGGAAATGTACGTCCCAGGTACTCCCAGAATTTGACGTACTAATTTTCGGGAGGATATTAAATACCACTCAACCCACTCAAAATGTAACTGATTGGGCTGAGGATGGCTATATTGATATCCTGGAACTTCACATGTTGGCACATGAAGCAGTATGGATGCAGTATGGTTTTGGTAAGGCCAGGAATACGCCAGAATTTGGTAAGTGTAACTTTGGTAGTAAGCCCACAGCACTTGCAGTGTTGAGTCAAACACAGACTACATCACTATTGAATCAGACTGAACAGCATATTACGGAAATTTTTGGATCTACTCTTGATGCGCCTGTATTTGGTAAAAGTTGTCAGACAACTAACGCAAATCCAATATTTTAACCTAACCTTTTCGGGGGCGGCTTTTGAGCATGAATTCCGGGGTCTACGGCAGGAATTGGCAGGAGTTGAGCACTAAATATTGGCGTTGGAAAAAGTTGAAAAAGCCAAATGGGTGGGGGTGGGGAAATGTACGTCCCAGGTACTCCCAGAATTTGACGTACTAATTTTCGGGAGGATATTAAATACCACTCAACCCAGTCAAAATGTAACTGATTGGGCTGAGGATGGCTATAATGATATCCTGGAACCTCACATGTTGGCACATGAAGCAGTATGGAAGCAGTATGGTTTTGGTAAGGCCAGGAACACGCCAGAATTTGGTAAGTGTAACTTTGGTAGTAAGCCCACAGCACTTGCAATGTTGAGTCAAACACAGACTACATCACTATTGAATCAGACTGAACAGCATATTACGGAAATTTTTGGATCTACTCTTGATGCGCCTGTATTTGGTAAAAGTTGTCAGACAACTAACGCTCATCCAATATTTTAACCTAGCCTTTTCGGGGGCGGCTTTTGAGCATGAATTCCGGGGTCTACGGCAGGAATTGGCATAAATTGAGCACTAAATATTGGCGTTGGAAAAAGTTGAAAAAGTCAAATGGGTGGGTTGGGGAAATGTACGTCCCAGGTACTCCCAGAATTTGACGTACTAATTTTCGGGAGGATATTAAATACCACTCAACCCAGTCAAAATGTAACTGATTGGGCTGAGGATGGCTATAATGATATCCTGGAACCTCACATGTTGGCACATGAAGCAGTATGGAAGCAGTATGGTTTTGGTAAGGCCAGGAACACGCCAGAATTTGGTAAGTGTAACTTTGGTAGTAAGCCCACAGCACTTGCAGTGTTGAGTCAAACACAGACTACATCACTATTGAATCAGACTGAACAGCATATTACGGAAATTTTTGGATCTACTCTTGATGCGCCTGTATTTGGTAAAAGTTGTCCGACAACTAACGCAAATCCAATATTTTAACCTAACCTTTTCGGGGGCGGCTTTTGAGCATGAATTCCGGGGTCTACGGCAGGAATTGGCAGGAGTTGAGCACTAAATATTGGCGTTGGAAAAAGTTGAAAAAGTCAAATGGGTGGGGGTGGGGAAATGTACGTCCCAGGTACTCCCAGAATTTGACGTACTAATTTTCGGGAGGATATTAAATACCACTCAACCCAGTCAAAATGTAACTGATTGGGCTGAGGATGGCTATAATGATATCCTGGAACCTCACATGTTGGCACATGAAGCAGTATGGAAGCAGTAAGGTTTTGGTAAGGCCAGGAATACGCCAGAATTTGGTAAGTGTAACTTTGGTAGTAAGCCCACAGCACTTGCAGTGTTGAGTCAAACACAGACTACATCACTATTGAATCAGACTGAACAGCATATTACGGAAATTTTTGGATCTACTCTTGATGCGTCTGTATTTGGTAAATGTTGTCAGACAACTAACGCAAATCCAATATTTTAACCTAACCTTTTCGGGGGCGGCTTTTGAGCATGAATTCCGGGGTCTACGGCAGGAATTGGCAGGAGTTGAGCACTAAATATTGGCGTTGGAAAAAGTTGAAAAATTCAAATGGGTGGGTTGGGGAAATGTACGTCCCAGGTACTCCCAGAATTTGACGTACTAATTTTCGGGAGGATATTAAATAACACTCAACCCAGTCAAAATGTAACTGATTGGGCTGAGGATGGCTATAATGATATCCTGGAACCTCACATGTTGGCACATGTAGCAGTATGGAAGCAGTATGGTTTTGGTAAGGCCAGGAATACGCCAGAATTTGGTAAGTGTAACTTTGGTAGTAAGCCCACAGCACTTGCAGTGTTGAGTCAAACACAGACTACATCACTATTGAATCAGACTGAACAGCATATTACGGAAATTTTTGGATCTACTCTTGATGCGCCTGTATTTGGTAAAAGTTGTCAGACAACTAACGCAAATCCAATATTTTAACCTAACCTTTTCGGGGGCGGCTTTTGAGCATGAATTCCGGGGTCTACGGCAGGAATTGGCAGGAATTGAGCACTAAATATTGGCGTTGGAAAAAGTTGAAAAAGTCAAATGGGTGGGGGTGGGGAAATGTACGTCCCAGGTACTCCCAGAATTTGACGTACTAATTTTCGGGAGGATATTAAATACCACTCAACCCAGTCAAAATGTAACTGATTGGGCTGAGGATGGCTATAATGATATCCTGGAACCTCACATGTTGGCACATGAAGCAGTATGGAAGCAGTAAGGTTTTGGTAAGGCCAGGAATACGCCAGAATTTGGTAAGTGTAACTTTGGTAGTAAGCCCACAGCACTTGCAGTGTTGAGTCAAACACAGACTACATCACTATTGAATCAGACTGAACAGCATATTACGGAAATTTTTGGATCTACTCTTGATGCGTCTGTATTTGGTAAATGTTGTCAGACAACTAACGCAAATCCAATATTTTAACCTAACCTTTTCGGGGGCGGCTTTTGAGCATGAATTCCGGGGTCTACGGCAGGAATTGGCAGGAGTTGAGCACTAAATATTGGCGTTGGAAAAAGTTGAAAAAGTCAAATGGGTGGGGGTGGGGAAATGTACGTCCCAGGTACTCCCAGAATTTGACGTACTAATTTTCGGGAGGATATTAAATACCACTCAACCCAGTCAAAAAGTAACTGATTTGGCTGAGGATGGCTATAATGATATCCTGGAACCTCACATGTTGGCACATGAAGCAGTATGGAATCAGTAAGGTTTTGGTAAGGCCAGGAATACGCCAGAATTTGGTAAGTGTAACTTTGGTAGTAAGCCCACAGCACTTGCAGTGTTGAGTCAAACACAGACTAGATCACTATTGAATCAGACTGAACAGCATATTACGGAAATTTTTGGATCTACTCTTGATGCGTCTGTATTTGGTAAATGTTGTCAGACAACTAACGCAAATCCAATATTTTAACCTAACCTTTTCGGGGGCGGCTTTTGAGCATGAATTCCGGGGTCTACGGCAGGAATTGGCAGGAGTTGAGCACTAAATATTGGCGTTGGAAAAAGTTGAAAAATTCAAATGGGTGGGTTGGGGAAATGTACGTCCCAGGTACTCCCAGAATTTGACGTACTAATTTTCGGGAGGATATTAAATAACACTCAACCCAGTCAAAATGTAACTGATTGGGCTGAGGATGGCTATAATGATATCCTGGAACCTCACATGTTGGCACATGAAGCAGTATGGAAGCAGTATGGTTTTGGTAAGGCCAGGAATACGCCAGAATTTGGTAAGTGTAACTTTGGTAGTAAGCCCACAGCACTTGCAGTGTTGAGTCAAACACAGACTACATCACTATTGAATCAGACTGAACAGCATATTACGGAAATTTTTGGATCTACTCTTGATGCGCCTGTATTTGGTAAAAGTTGTCAGACAACTAACGCAAATCCAATATTTTAACCTAACCTTTTCGGGGGCGGCTTTTGAGCATGAATTCCGGGGTCTACGGCAGGAATTGGCAGGAATTGAGCACTAAATATTGGCGTTGGAAAAAGTTGAAAAAGTCAAATGGGTGGGGGTGGGGAAATGTACGTCCCAGGTACTCCCAGAATTTGACGTACTAATTTTCGGGAGGATATTAAATACCACTCAACCCAGTCAAAATGTAACTGATTGGGCTGAGGATGGCTATAATGATATCCTGGAACCTCACATGTTGGCACATGAAGCAGTATGGAAGCAGTAAGGTTTTGGTAAGGCCAGGAATACGCCAGAATTTGGTAAGTGTAACTTTGGTAGTAAGCCCACAGCACTTGCAGTGTTGAGTCAAACACAGACTACATCACTATTGAATCAGACTGAACAGCATATTACGGAAATTTTTGGATCTACTCTTGATGCGTCTGTATTTGGTAAATGTTGTCAGACAACTAACGCAAATCCAATATTTTAACCTAACCTTTTCGGGGGCGGCTTTTGAGCATGAATTCCGGGGTCTACGGCAGGAATTGGCAGGAATTGAGCACTAAATATTGGCGTTGGAAAAAGTTGAAAAAGTCAAATGGGTGGGGGTGGGGAAATGTACGTCCCAGGTACTCCCAGAATTTGACGTACTAATTTTCGGGAGGATATTAAATACCACTTAACCCAGTCAAAATGTAACTGATTGGGCTGAGGATGGCTATAATGATATCCTGGAACCTCACATGTTGGCACATGAAGCAGTATGGAAGCAGTAAGGTTTTGGTAAGGCCAGGAATACGCCAGAATTTGGTAAGTGTAACTTTGGTAGTAAGCCCACAGCACTTGCAGTGTTGAGTCAAACACAGACTACATCACTATTGAATCAGACTGAACAGCATATTACGGAAATTTTTGGATCTACTCTTGATGCGTCTGTATTTGGTAAATGTTGTCAGACAACTAACGCAAATCCAATATTTTAACCTAACCTTTTCGGGGGCGGCTTTTGAGCATGAATTCCGGGGTCTACGGCAGGAATTGGCAGGAGTTGAGCACTAAATATTGGCGTTGGAAAAAGTTGAAAAAGTCAAATGGGTGGGGGTAGGGAAATGTACGTCCCAGGTACTCCCAGAATTTGACGTACTAATTTTCGGGAGGATATTAAATACCACTCAACCCAGTCAAAATGTAACTGATTGGGCTGAGGATGGCTATAATGATATCCTGGAACCTCACATGTTGGCACATGAAGCAGTATGGAATCAGTATGGTTTTGGTAAGGCCAGGAACACGCCAGAATTTGGTAAGTGTAACTTTGGTAGTAAGCCCACAGCACTTGCAGTGTTGAGTCAAACACAGACTACATCACTATTGAATCAGGCTGAACAGCATATTACGGAAATTTTTGGATCTACTCTTGATGCGCCTGTATTTGGTAAAAGTTGTCAGACAACTAACGCTCATCCAATATTTTAACCTAGCCTTTTCGGGGGCGGCTTTTGAGCATGAATTCCGGGGTCTACGGCAGGAATTGGCATAAATTGAGCACTAAATATTGGCGTTGGAAAAAGTTGAAAAAGTCAAATGGGTGGGTTGGGGAAATGTACGTCCCAGGTACTCCCAGAATTTGACGTACTAATTTTCGGGAGGATATTAAATAACACTCAACCCAGTCAAAATGTAACTGATTGGGCTGAGGATGGCTATAATGATATCCTGGAACCTCACATGTTGGCACATGAAGCAGTATGGAAGCAGTATGGTTTTGGTAAGGCCAGGAATACGCCAGAATTTGGTAAGTGTAACTTTGGTAGTAAGCCCACAGCACTTGCAGTGTTGAGTCAAACACAGACTACATCACTATTGAATCAGGCTGAACAGCATATTACGGAAATTTTTGGATCTACTCTTGATGCGCCTGTATTTGGTAAAAGTTGTCAGACAACTAACGCTCATCCAATATTTTAACCTAGCCTTTTCGGGGGCGGCTTTTGAGCATGAATTCCGGGGTCTACGGCAGGAATTGGCATAAATTGAGCACTAAATATTGGCGTTGGAAAAAGTTGAAAAAGTCAAATGGGTGGGTTGGGGAAATGTACGTCCCAGGTACTCCCAGAATTTGACGTACTAATTTTCGGGAGGATATTAAATAACACTCAACCCAGTCAAAATGTAACTGATTGGGCTGAGGATGGCTATAATGATATCCTGGAACCTCACATGTTGGCACATGAAGCAGTATGGAAGCAGTATGGTTTTGGTAAGGCCAGGAATACGCCAGAATTTGGTAAGTGTAACTTTGGTAGTAAGCCCACAGCACTTGCAGTGTTGAGTCAAACACAGACTACATCACTATTGAATCAGACTGAACAGCATATTACGGAAATTTTTGGATCTACTCTTGATGCGCCTGTATTTGGTAAAAGTTGTCAGACAACTAACGCAAATCCAATATTTTAACCTAACCTTTTCGGGGGCGGCTTTTGAGCATGAATTCCGGGGTCTACGGCAGGAATTGGCAGGAATTGAGCACTAAATATTGGCGTTGGAAAAAGTTGAAAAAGTCAAATGGGTGGGGGTGGGGAAATGTACGTCCCAGGTACTCCCAGAATTTGACGTACTAATTTTCGGGAGGATATTAAATACCACTCAACCCAGTCAAAATGTAACTGATTGGGCTGAGGATGGCTATAATGATATCCTGGAACCTCACATGTTGGCACATGAAGCAGTATGGAAGCAGTAAGGTTTTGGTAAGGCCAGGAATACGCCAGAATTTGGTAAGTGTAACTTTGGTAGTAAGCCCACAGCACTTGCAGTGTTGAGTCAAACACAGACTACATCACTATTGAATCAGACTGAACAGCATATTACGGAAATTTTTGGATCTACTCTTGATGCGCCTGTATTTGGTAAAAGTTGTCAGACAACTAACGCAAATCCAATATTTTAACCTAACCTTTTCGGGGGCGGCTTTTGAGCATGAATTCCGGGGTCTACGGCAGGAATTGGCAGGAATTGAGCACTAAATATTGGCGTTGGAAAAAGTTGAAAAAGTCAAATGGGTGGGGGTGGGGAAATGTACGTCCCAGGTACTCCCAGAATTTGACGTACTAATTTTCGGGAGGATATTAAATACCACTCAACCCAGTCAAAATGTAACTGATTGGGCTGAGGATGGCTATAATGATATCCTGGAACCTCACATGTTGGCACATGAAGCAGTATGGAAGCAGTAAGGTTTTGGTAAGGCCAGGAATACGCCAGAATTTGGTAAGTGTAACTTTGGTAGTAAGCCCACAGCACTTGCAGTGTTGAGTCAAACACAGACTACATCACTATTGAATCAGACTGAACAGCATATTACGGAAATTTTTGGATCTACTCTTGATGCGTCTGTATTTGGTAAATGTTGTCAGACAACTAACGCAAATCCAATATTTTAACCTAACCTTTTCGGGGGCGGCTTTTGAGCATGAATTCCGGGGTCTACGGCAGGAATTGGCAGGAGTTGAGCACTAAATATTGGCGTTGGAAAAAGTTGAAAAAGTCAAATGGGTGGGGGTAGGGAAATGTACGTCCCAGGTACTCCCAGAATTTGACGTACTAATTTTCGGGAGGATATTAAATACCACTCAACCCAGTCAAAATGTAACTGATTGGGCTGAGGATGGCTATAATGATATCCTGGAACCTCACATGTTGGCACATGAAGCAGTATGGAAGCAGTATGGTTTTGGTAAGGCCAGGAACACGCCAGAATTTGGTAAGTGTAACTTTGGTAGTAAGCCCACAGCACTTGCAGTGTTGAGTCAAACACAGACTACATCACTATTGAATCAGGCTGAACAGCATATTACGGAAATTTTTGGATCTACTCTTGATGCGCCTGTATTTGGTAAAAGTTGTCAGACAACTAACGCTCATCCAATATTTTAACCTAGCCTTTTCGGGGGCGGCTTTTGAGCATGAATTCCGGGGTCTACGGCAGGAATTGGCATAAATTGAGCACTAAATATTGGCGTTGGAAAAAGTTGAAAAAGTCAAATGGGTGGGTTGGGGAAATGTACGTCCCAGGTACTCCCAGAATTTGACGTACTAATTTTCGGGAGGATATTAAATAACACTCAACCCAGTCAAAATGTAACTGATTGGGCTGAGGATGGCTATAATGATATCCTGGAACCTCACATGTTGGCACATGAAGCAGTATGGAAGCAGTATGGTTTTGGTAAGGCCAGGAATACGCCAGAATTTGGTAAGTGTAACTTTGGTAGTAAGCCCACAGCACTTGCAGTGTTGAGTCAAACACAGACTACATCACTATTGAATCAGACTGAACAGCATATTACGGAAATTTTTGGATCTACTCTTGATGCGTCTGTATTTGGTAAAAGTTGTCAGACAACTAACGCAAATCCAATATTTTAACCTAACCTTTTCGGGGGCGGCTTTTGAGCATGAATTCCGGGGTCTACGGCAGGAATTGGCAGGAATTGAGCACTAAATATTGGCGTTGGAAAAAGTTGAAAAAGTCAAATGGGTGGGGGTGGGGAAATGTACGTCCCAGGTACTCCCAGAATTTGACGTACTAATTTTCGGGAGGATATTAAATACCACTCAACCCAGTCAAAATGTAACTGATTGGGCTGAGGATGGCTATAATGATATCCTGGAACCTCACATGTTGGCACATGAAGCAGTATGGAAGCAGTAAGGTTTTGGTAAGGCCAGGAATACGCCAGAATTTGGTAAGTGTAACTTTGGTAGTAAGCCCACAGCACTTGCAGTGTTGAGTCAAACACAGACTACATCACTATTGAATCAGACTGAACAGCATATTACGGAAATTTTTGGATCTACTCTTGATGCGTCTGTATTTGGTAAATGTTGTCAGACAACTAACGCAAATCCAATATTTTAACCTAACCTTTTCGGGGGCGGCTTTTGAGCATGAATTCCGGGGTCTACGGCAGGAATTGGCAGGAGTTGAGCACTAAATATTGGCGTTGGAAAAAGTTGAAAAAGTCAAATGGGTGGGGGTAGGGAAATGTACGTCCCAGGTACTCCCAGAATTTGACGTACTAATTTTCGGGAGGATATTAAATACCACTCAACCCAGTCAAAATGTAACTGATTGGGCTGAGGATGGCTATAATGATATCCTGGAACCTCACATGTTGGCACATGAAGCAGTATGGAAGCAGTATGGTTTTGGTAAGGCCAGGAACACGCCAGAATTTGGTAAGTGTAACTTTGGTAGTAAGCCCACAGCACTTGCAGTGTTGAGTCAAACACAGACTACATCACTATTGAATCAGGCTGAACAGCATATTACGGAAATTTTTGGATCTACTCTTGATGCGCCTGTATTTGGTAAAAGTTGTCAGACAACTAACGCTCATCCAATATTTTAACCTAGCCTTTTCGGGGGCGGCTTTTGAGCATGAATTCCGGGGTCTACGGCAGGAATTGGCATAAATTGAGCACTAAATATTGGCGTTGGAAAAAGTTGAAAAAGTCAAATGGGTGGGTTGGGGAAATGTACGTCCCAGGTACTCCCAGAATTTGACGTACTAATTTTCGGGAGGATATTAAATAACACTCAACCCAGTCAAAATGTAACTGATTGGGCTGAGGATGGCTATAATGATATCCTGGAACCTCACATGTTGGCACATGAAGCAGTATGGAAGCAGTATGGTTTTGGTAAGGCCAGGAATACGCCAGAATTTGGTAAGTGTAACTTTGGTAGTAAGCCCACAGCACTTGCAGTGTTGAGTCAAACACAGACTACATCACTATTGAATCAGACTGAACAGCATATTACGGAAATTTTTGGATCTACTCTTGATGCGTCTGTATTTGGTAAAAGTTGTCAGACAACTAACGCAAATCCAATATTTTAACCTAACCTTTTCGGGGGCGGCTTTTGAGCATGAATTCCGGGGTCTACGGCAGGAATTGGCAGGAATTGAGCACTAAATATTGGCGTTGGAAAAAGTTGAAAAAGTCAAATGGGTGGGGGTGGGGAAATGTACGTCCCAGGTACTCCCAGAATTTGACGTACTAATTTTCGGGAGGATATTAAATACCACTCAACCCAGTCAAAATGTAACTGATTGGGCTGAGGATGGCTATAATGATATCCTGGAACCTCACATGTTGGCACATGAAGCAGTATGGAAGCAGTAAGGTTTTGGTAAGGCCAGGAATACGCCAGAATTTGGTAAGTGTAACTTTGGTAGTAAGCCCACAGCACTTGCAGTGTTGAGTCAAACACAGACTACATCACTATTGAATCAGACTGAACAGCATATTACGGAAATTTTTGGATCTACTCTTGATGCGTCTGTATTTGGTAAATGTTGTCAGACAACTAACGCAAATCCAATATTTTAACCTAACCTTTTCGGGGGCGGCTTTTGAGCATGAATTCCGGGGTCTACGGCAGGAATTGGCAGGAATTGAGCACTAAATATTGGCGTTGGAAAAAGTTGAAAAAGTCAAATGGGTGGGGGTGGGGAAATGTACGTCCCAGGTACTCCCAGAATTTGACGTACTAATTTTCGGGAGGATATTAATTACCACTCAACCCAGTCAAAATGTAACTGATTGGGCTGAGGATGGCTATAATGATATCCTTTCACCTCACATGTTGGCACATGAAGCAGTATGGAAGCAGTATGGTTTTGGTAAGGCCAGGAATACGCCAGAATTTGGTAAGTGTAACTTTGGTAGTAAGCCCACAGCACTTGCAGTGTTGAGTCAAACACAGACTACATCACTATTGAATCAGACTGAACAGCATATTACGGACATTTTTGGATCTACTCTTGATGCGCCTGTATTTGGTAAAAGTTGTCAGACAACTAAAGCTCATCCAATATTTTAACCTAACCTTTTCGGTTGCGGCTTTTGAGCATGAATTCCGGGGTCTACGGCAGGAATTGACAGGAATTGAGCACTAAATATTGGCGTTGGAAAAAGTTGAAAAAGTCAAATGGGTGGTGGTTGGGAAATGTACGTCCCAGGTACTCCCAGAATTTGACGTACTAATTTTCGGGAGGATATTAATTACCACTCAACCCAGTCAAAATGTAACTGATTGGGCTGAGGATGGCTATAATGATATCCTGGAACCTCACATGTTGGCACATGAAGCAGTATGGAAGCAGTAAGGTTTTGGTAAGGCCAGGAATACGCCAGAATTTGGTAAGTGTAACTTTGGTAGTAAGCCCACAGCACTTGCAGTGTTGAGTCAAACACAGACTACATCACTATTGAATCAGACTGATCAGCATATTACGGAAATTTTTGGATCTACTCTTGATGCGCCTGTATTTGTTAAAAGTTGTCATACAACTAACGCTCATCCAATATTTTAACCTAACCTTTTCGGTTGCGGCTTTTGAGCATGGATTCCGGGGTCTACGGCAGGAATTGGCAGGAATTGAGCACTAAATATTGGCGTTGGGAAAAGTTGAAAAAGTCAAATGGGTGGGGGCGGGGAAATGTACGTCCCAGGTACTCCCAGAATTTGACGTACTAATTTTCGGGAGGATATTAAATACCACTCAACCCAGTCAAAATGTAACTGATTGGGCTGAGGATGGCTATAATGATATCCTGGAACCTCACATGTTGGCACATGAAGCAGTATGGAAGCAGTAAGGTTTTGGTAAGGCCAGGAATACGCCAGAATTTGGTAAGTGTAACTTTGGTAGTAAGCCCACAGCACTTGCAGTGTTGAGTCAAACACAGACTACATCACTATTGAATCAGACTGATCAGCATATTACGGAAATTTTTGGATCTACTCTTGATGCACCTGTATTTGTTAAAAGTTGTCATACAACTAACGCTCATCCAATATTTTAACCTAACCTTTTCGGTTGCGGCTTTTGAGCATGGATTCCGGGGTCTACGGCAGGAATTGGCAGGAATTGAGCACTAAATATTGGCGTTGGGAAAAGTTGAAAAAGTCAAATGGGTGGGGGTGGGGAAATGTACGTCCCAGGTACTCCCAGAATTTGACGTACTAATTTTCGGGAGGATATTAAATACCACTCAACCCAGTCAAAATGTAACTGATTGGGCTGAGGATGGCTATAATGATATCCTGGAACCTCACATGTTGGCACATGAAGCAGTATGGAAGCAGTAAGGTTTTGGTAAGGCCAGGAATACGCCAGAATTTGGTAAGTGTAACTTTGGTAGTAAGCCCACAGCACTTGCAGTGTTGAGTCAAACACAGACTACATCACTATTGAATCAGACTGAACAGCATATTACGGAAATTTTTGGATCTTCTCTTGATGCGCCTGTATTTGGTAAAAGTTGTCAGACAACTAAAGCTCATCCAATATTTTAACCTAACCCACGCATAATCGCATTGAAAAAAAATCTTCGCCAACTATCACATGAAGTCACTATCAAAAATATTAAAATGAAAACCCCCTCAGCAAAAAATAAGGCGCCAAAGTAAAAGAATTTCATCTATGAAGAATATAATTTCCGAGCTTCAAAAACAAAATTTAATTGACGAGGAAGCCAGTTATACCCTGTCTGAAACTTTTGGTAAGCATAAAGATTTGATAACCAATTGGACAAAAAAAAAATTAGGTAAAAAAGTTCCAAAGAAATATAGTGCCACCATTCGTCAATTTGCTTTATCATTACATTTTTTTTCTGCTAAAGCATACGTATTCGTATGTAACTATGTAAGACAGCAGTTTGACACGTTTTGCCTCATAGTAGAAGTCTTAGTAAATGGTACAGAAATGTCAATGCTGAACCAGGTTTTACTGAAGAGTCGTTAAAGATGCTAACACTTAAAGTAAATAATTCACCCCATCCTATTTTATTAGCTTTGTCTATGGATGAAATGGCTATAAGACAACACCTGGAATTTTATGGTACTAAGTATTATGGAAGGGTTGATATGGGAAATTATATGGATAATGATAGTTTAAACACAGCTAAACAATGTTTAGTTTTTATGGCAGTCTCGGTAAATGAGAATTGGAAGTTACCAATTGGTTATTTTGTAGTGGATGCTTTAAAAAGTGCACAAAAAGTTGAACTAGTTCGCCACACATTAAATGTATTGAACAGCACTGGTGTAAAAGTCTTGAGCTTAACATTTTGATGGTTGTTCTAGTAATATTAGTTCAGCTCAACTTTTAGGTTGTAATTATGTTTTGAGTGCATTAGATACATCTTTTTCTTCTGGCTTTGAAAGTAATCCAAAAATTGTAACCCTTTTTGATCCTACACATATGATCCAATTGGTTCGTGATGCTTTTGGTGAAAAGAAGGTCTTTAAAGATAGTACAAATAATGAAATAAAATTTGAATATGTCCGGAAATTGTGTTATTTGCAAGAGAAGGAAGGATGCCATCTTGCTAATAAACTGCGAAAACAGCATCTTCTTTATTTTAAACAAAAGATGAAAGTAAAACTTGCAACCCAAATACTTAGTCAGTCAGTAGCAGATGCATTGACATTTTGCAAAGGTAGCCTCAAACTAAAAGAGTTTTCTAATGCAGGTGCTACCATACAATTTATCGAACTCTTTAATACTGGCTTTGACATATTAAACTCAAAATCTATCAACTGTGTAGGATTTAAAAAGCACTATGTGAAGAAAACATTCAAGAAGTTAGATTGTTCACAGAAAAAATGACAACATATATTAAAGGTCTTAAAATTCAAGATAGACCAGGAGTTTTTACACCCGTACTTGAATCACAACGAAAAACTGGGTTTCTTGGATTTATAGTCAGTTTAAATAGTATTTTACAGCTATATACTTTGTTTGTGGAAACTGATGTCTTACAACATATAAAAATTTATAAATTAAGCCAAGATCACGTAGAACTGTTTTTCGGTAGTATAAGGGCCCACGGTGGGCATAACAATAATCCAACAGTGAGGCAGTTTCGTTCAGCATACCAAAAATTAGTTATCAGAACAAATGATATACAAAGTTTTAATACTGGTAATTGTATACCACTTGAAGAGATAGATATTCTTCACTACTCCAGTTCAGATCCAGTTACTGTTTTAAATAACAATTCTTCAGGTTGCAGTTTTGATCCAATTGATGAAGAAAATGAACAAGATATTTCTGCATTTATAATGGACCATGATTATATTGGAAGTCACAGTTCATACTCTTTTAGTAATTTTTCAAAAGAAATCATTGTTTATATTTCAGGATTTGTAGTTCATAAATTGACCAATGTACTGAAATGTGATGTTTGCAAAAATGCATTGTGTGCTGCCGAAAAAGAATTTTTTTTAAATTCGTTGATAACATTAAAAAATAAGGGAGGCATTCATGGTGGACTTATTTATAATCGGCAGACCGTGCAAAATTTGCTCTGCAAAACATTGGAAAGTCCAAAACAAAATGTACAAAATCTAAAACCGTGCAAAAAAGATTAAAAACCTTATGCGAACGGTTAAATACTAACCAACTTGAAGTGGATAAATTTTTAAAAAAAATTTATTTAAATTTAAGAAAACGATTATAAAATAGATACCTATTAATATTATTGACATTGTATTACAAATTTATAATTTATTATATTTATACTTACAAATCATTTTTGCCGGGGTTATTTTTTAGGCAAATCATATATGATATTATTATTATTATTATTATTATATCATATATGATAGTTTGATACCAGATTTTGGCATGAAAAAATTTTAAATCATAGATTTTATATAATTATATGATATGAGGTGGTTGGGGCAAGTAGTTTGTCCCAAATAAACTATATTCCACAAATTATTATTGGATTCAATTATTGCAGTCAAGGCTATTGGACTTCGAACTAGTCTAAACGTCCGGGAAATATTGTAAATAATTATAATATACATCGGAGATGACGGTTTATTGTCTGTATAATAATAATTTGCATAGGTTGTGTATAGGTTCCCTCGTCCTAGTTAAATTCATACGTTCCGACGTTGGATCTCAAAAGTAATTGTTAATATAGAATATACATGTTCACGTATTTTATTATTGCAGTAAGGCCACCTGCATAATAATATTATAATGCTGGTTGTGATTGTGTACTGTCTGTATACTGTGTTAGGTACATAATAGAGTATATGTTTGGAAAGTTGGAATAATCAGGAAATACATTTTTCGGATGTTGACCATAATATTATTATAATAACCAGGAGTTCTAAAATATTTTGAGATCATTCGAACCATGATATTATACAATTACAAAAATCAAATCAACTACATTTTAATCTAAACTATTTACCAGAATAATGCGTTTAAACGTGTTTGCAACCTATCATGTATTTATCGAATAAATAATTCTTCAGTGCTTGTGGACTGTAGTCTGTGAAAAAAAAATAATATTATGTTTACATTTGACAAACATAAATATATTATTCTTAAATCTTGAATAAGTGCGCGATCAGAACAATTTGTAGGTATATGATATTATGTAGCCTTGTAGGGTGATTGTACCATAGATTGTCCTGTACTATCTTAATAACCTTCTCGTCTGTATCAATATGAATAATAAGTAGATATTATCGAATTTATATTTTGATAATTAGGTACTTGAAACAGGTAGTTACTGATAAATTTTCAACATACCTACAGTATATTATTTTATTGTAACTTCGAATGATGTATGATGACAAGGCTGTGTAAGATTTCTCACCACCTGTTCACTTGTTAAAAGACAAGACAATATAATATCCCAGGCTGGGCAAGTGAATGATATTTTTTAACTCAGTTAAATAAAGTTAAGTATTTTTTTTAATTAAAGTAAAAGCTAAGTTAATGTACATTTGTAATATATAAATTAAGTTTAAATTAAGTTACAAATACTGCTAACTTAACTTAACTTCAATTAATTAGTTAGGTTAATAATTTAATAAAAATAATGCATTTATATGGTATTATTTAATAAAATAAGTGATTATCACTTGAATAGTACATAATCATCATTCATAGGTATATTACTGTTCAAACAATTTAAGATAATCAATATTGTACTAATAAATTTAATTGATAACTAATGAGTAATGAATAGGTATTATGATTTATGAATATAATTTGTGGTATTGATGTCTTCATTCGGGTGACTAATGTAACCCTTATATTAATATTTTTAATTAACTTATTAATGCAATATATTAGTTTTTATCTTTAAACATAAATACGAAGTTCTTTGCAAAGCTGTGCAAGTTAATGATTTATTTTAACTCAGTTAAGTTAAGTTAATATGCAACAATAACAAAAAGTTAAAAGTTAAAAGATTATTTAAATATAGTTTAACTTAGTTAAGTTAAAGTGTATACACACTTTTTGTTAACGTTTTATTAAGTTAAAAATAGTTAATTTTTTTATACAACGCTAGAGTACTTAATTTTTTTCAAACCCAAAACTAAATTATAGACTATAGTGTTTATACTTTATACAGTATTTCCATATAAGTTAGATTCAAATGATATAAACTTTTAACTTTAAACAATTTACGGTAAATATTTTTTGTCATGAAAACGAAATAGACTAAATTAGTAAAATATAATAAAATTAAATACAAAATAAATTAACTTAACTTACTTCTTAAAATGAAAAATTAACTCGTTAATTTCACGTTAAATAAAAAAGAAATTTAATAAGTTTACAGTTAGTTAATGAGAAGCTAAAAGTAACTAGTTAAGTTAAAAATCTAAAATTAAATTATTTTTTTAACATAACTTTAACTTTTTAACTCGTTAATGCCCAACCTTGGTTCTTTGAAAATATATCTTATTTTATTTTTGGTAATATTTTCTATATTCTGTGAACTAATAATTATTATTTTAAACTGAAAATCCATAATAAACAAAATATTATTCTGGACAATAGGAATATTCAAAATTAACTAAATTGGGAAAATAAAGAAAAATTAACTCATTTGCCTCTAAATTAACATAAAGAAATAAAAAAGAGTTGATTTTAAGTTAATTTAGAGGCAAATGAGTTAATTTTAAGTTAATGTAGAGGTAAATGAGTTAAATTAAAGTTAAATTAGGTAATTAAAACACTGAACTAGTAAATTAAGTTAATGAGTTAAAACTAACTTAACTTCTAACTTATTAACTCGTTAATACCCAGCCTTGAAACTCAACTTTTAAACATTCCCTCTTTCGAAAGGAGATCGCCAAGCCTTATCGCAAAACCTTATCATCAAAATCACCTTCATTACTTTACAAGACTTGTAGTGCTACTTCTATAAGTCTAAATTAAATGGACTCTCCAAAATCGGTAGCCCCTTTCAGCAAACACTGGAGGGTCCCGTTGGCTCCCGCGTCTACACCGGAGGGCTAGTAAAATAATAAATATATTTATATTTCAACTTTCAACACCATTGGTAATAATGTAATATTTTATGCGTTTTAAAATTATGTTGTCCAGACTGTTCCAGCGTCACGTCACACAATATCAACAGTATTGTTCTGTACCGTATACAGCCGCCTAAGTTCTAACTCCGAGTCATTTGACTTCTTGTGTTACCTTCTGGCGAGCGTGACATCAATTTTGTTTGTGAATTTTAGGCTATATAACATTAATTAATATTCTAATAATTAATTTTAGAAACATTTAATTAAGATTTGTTGATTGCAGTTTACTACATTATCGTTTTATTTAGATTGCCTTTTCTGATTTTGTTCGTTTCACCTACGAATTTCTTCATCAATCATGGAATCAAATGTGAGTAAATCTTACCTACATATTCATCTATTAGATAACCATGGCAGCCATTTTATTGGTGACAATAATAATGCCGAAGTAATCTATCTAGTATTGCCATATGGCAACCGTTTATCGGTGATGATGTAGAACTGTAGAAGACCACCTACGTAGTTGTATTATTATTAACACGTAGTACTAATCAATACTTTATATTCAATGAACGGATATCAGGGTTATACGAATGATTGTGAAATTGTACAAAACATTATAGTCATAAGGAAAGTAACACAAGTATGTAATGCGAATATAAACTGTTTAATTATTATATGAATTCGGATATATAAGTACATTGTAAAGGGCAGTAGATCGAACAGTCTTATAACAAGCGTATGACTCGTACCTTATCATTGTCGATATGTGTGTGTTTATTTTAAAATATACTTAATTAATTAACTAATTGTTATTTATTTTTGAGTTACCTTCACTTTCTACAAAAACTCGTTGTAAGCCTACCTGGCTTATAACATAATTGGTGGCAGCGGTGCTCTTCAAACATAATATACTGTATACTATCTGCAGTAGTAATACAATAAGTATAATTGTTGAAGCGGACATTCAGAAGGTGAACAATTTTTTCATTTACTACACGGACAAGGAGGTTCAGGTCAGGCGTGGCTTGTGTTAAGCCTGGTTCAACTCAGGAGTTGGTGGACAAAGGAGTGCAATCATAGGATAAGTCAGCAACAGAAAAGGAACAGTGGATACGGACAACAGAGGACAACAACGTGACAATATCAAGCGCTGAATCAATCAAAGGGGAAGTACAATCAAGGCGTCATGTTGAAGTAAAAAAATTTTTTGTAATTGTTTATGTCTGACGATAGTCAAAGTAGCGATAATAGTAGTATCGAATCTAGCGATAGTAATTATCAAGTAACAGAATTATTTGAAATTGAAATAGTAGAAATGACGATTCCCAAATTAACTTATGAATCAGGGATTAAATTTATACCAAGGTACGGGGGAGAGGAAGGCGAATTAGGCAGTTTTATTAAATCATGTGAATATGTGATAAATAATGTAGTAGATAGTCTTCAACCATTAATTCTAGAAGGGATATTGGCAAAATTATCAGGTAGGGCCGATCAGGTAACTAGGTTTAAATCTATTGGTACATTTGATGAATTAAAAACAATTTTAACGGAGAATTTTGGAATATATCAAACAGTGAGTCAGTTGCAATTAGAATTAGCAGCATGTGTACAAACTAAGAATGAGGGAATAAAAGCATATTATGAAAAGGTCGAAGGTATTTGTTTTAAATTAATAGAGGCAATGGTATTAGAGAATCCAAAAAAAGCGGAAGAGACAGTGATAAACAAAATAGTGAAAAGGCAAGCATTAAATGTATTTGTAGCAGGACTGAGAGAACCGTATAATATATTAGTAAAGGCTCAGAGTAGAGATACACTAATAGAAGCATATCAGGTAGCATTGGAAGAGAAAAAAGCGTTATTAGCTCAGGAACATAATAGGAAACTTTTTGTGAATAGCGACAGAGGAGTAAAACCAGGTGTTAAGTGTTTTAAGTGTAATAAAATAGGACATAAGAGCTTCCAGTGTTATAGTAAGAGTACAGGGGCAAGGAAAAAATCAAAGTTACGAAAAAACGAATAGGGAAAGTGATAGAAAGAAGTGGGAAGATCAAGCGAAAATAACGTGTAATTATTGTAAGAAACCAGGACACGTAATGGCAAACTGTTATAAAATAAAAAATAGAAATAGGTACCAAGGTGAAAATAGTAATAACAGTAGTGTAAGTAATGCACCGGTAGCGAACTCATTAACAGTCAGTGAGTATCAAGCGCGAGTGTTGACTATAATCGAAATGAAAAACGAATGTGTAAAGTGTGATGTACCATTGTTAAAAAATAATGTCGGAGAATTTTTAGTGGATAGTGGTGCTGATTTAAATTTGATTAAATTTTCGAAATTGAAGGGAGAAGTAAGAATGTTCCCAAGTAAGACGGTACAACTAAGAGGTATAAATGCGACACCAGTTTTAACATTAGGTAGAACAACATTAGAGTTAATAGCGGGTGACGTAAAACTATCATCAGAATTCGAAATAGTATTTGATGACTTTCCGATTTGTGTGGACGGTATAATAGGAAAAAAATTATTGAAGGAATATAAAATGTGCATTGACCTAGAGAGGAACGTGTTAGTAGTACCGGACAACAAAATTAATATTCCACCACGCGCGCAAACGATAGTGCCTATACGAGTGAATAAGTTATTACAAAACAAGTGTTTGGTAGTTCAAAGCCAACGCATTAATGAGGACGTGACAATTGGTAGTACAATAGGCAATGTAGAAAAAGAATGTATGAAAGGAATAGTGTTGAATAATTCGGACGAGTGGCAGGAAATAAATGAATTGGAATTAGATAAATTGGAGTATGAAGAATACGAGGACTGTGAACAGGTGTTAATATGCAGCAACGAGAAAAATAGGATTGACTTACTATTAGACGCGTTAAGAGTAGATCATTTAAATACAGAAGAAAAAGAAACTATATACGAAGTGTGTTTTAAATACGCGGATTTATTTTTTTTGGAGGGGGATAAGCTATCGACAACGAAATCAATTAAGCATTCAATACCAGTCCCAGACGGAATTACACCGATAAATGTAAAACCATATAGGTTACCCAGAGCACAGCGAGAGGAAATTGATAGACAAATAAGAGAATTGGAAGAGAATAAAATTGTAGTAAAAGCCAATTCGGCTTGGAATGCACCGTTAATAGTTGTTCCAAAAAAAGAGGGACTATCAGGAGAAAAAAAGTATAGAGTATGTGTAGATTTAAGAAAATTAAATGAAGTAACGGTAGGCGATGTATTTCCTTTACCACAGATAACTGAAATTTTGGATGAATTGGGGAAGTGTAAGTACTTTACAACCCTTGATTTGGCGGCAGGATATCATCAAATTGAACTTGTTGAAAAAGATTCGGACAAAACAGGGTTCTCAACGGGGACAAATCATTACAAATTTTTACGATTACCATTTGGACTAAAAGGAGGACCTAGTACTTTTCAAAGGTTAATGAATAACGTACTGACAGGATTACAAGGGGTAGATGCATACGTTTACCTAGATGATATAATAATATTTGCACCAGATCTAAGGAGTCATAATGAAAAATTAGAAAAAGTGTTAAGTAAATTACGCGAACATAATTTAACAATTCAACCGTCTAAATGTGAATTTTTAAGGAAGGAGGTGACATATTTGGGGCATATTATAACAGGTGATGGGGTGCGTCCAGATGAAAAAAAAATTGAAAGCGTAGTGAATTTTCCGCAGCCAAAGAACCAAAGGGAGTTAAAAGGATTTTTGGGATTAACAGGATTCTATAGGAAATTTATTAAGAATTATAGTCAAATAGCAAAACCTTTGACGGCATTATTAAAAAAGGATGTAGTATTCGTATGGAGCGATATGTGTCAGAAAGCTTTTAGTACCATGAAAGAAATATTAACGAGTGAACCTATACTACAGTACCCAAATTTTGAGGAAATGTTTATTCTAACGTGTGATGCTTCGGGACAGGCAATTGGGTCAGTACTTTCACAAATGAGTGCTGGGAGAGATCTCCCTATTGCGTATGAATCTCGAGTATTAAATAGCGCCGAACAGCGGTAAAGTACTACGGAAAGAGAGTGTCTAGCAATAGTGTGGAGTGTGAAACACTTCCGCCCTTATTTATGGGGTGCTAAATTCAGGGTAGTGACAGATCACAAACTATTAAACTGGCTATTTAATGTCAAAGATCCCGGGTCGAGATTAATTCGTTGGAGATTAAAATTAGAGGAGTATGACTATGAGATAGTTTATAAAAAAGGAACTGAAAATCAAAATGCTGATGCGTTAAGTCGAATACTAATAGCAGCTAATGAGGAGGAAATAACGTACGATAGTTTTAATCAAGCTTTAGCTAGTAAAAAAATAGTAAATAAAAACATAGAAGAAGTAAAAGGGACACTATTAGAAGCGGGTGAGGATTACCACATAGGGTTACCAGTAACAGGGGATTTATCGATTAGAGGTAAATTAGCTATGGATTTTTTATACATGGCAAAGCAATTTAATATTCAGGAGGAAAAACAAAAAAAACATGAAATAGGGCAAATTATAAAAATAAGTGGTTGTGAAGATAGGAAGATATTTTTTTTCATTATTGCAGAGAAATACCCATTAGTGCCAAGTTATGAACAATTATTTGAAATCTTATTAAAGGTAAAAGTATTTTGTGTGGAGTATGATATAGAAAAGTTAGCAATTCCACGTATAGATTACGAGACTTGTAACCTAAATTTTGAAATCGTTACGGCAATGATAAAAATGATTTTTTACGACACAGTTATAAAGATACAAATTTTTTTAGATAATACGGACTATAATCAAACGTTTCCAAGCGAGGAAAAATTACAAATTATTCAGGAATTTCATGAGAATAAATTAGGTGGACATTTAGGGGTAGCCCGCACAGTCAAAAGAATTAAATTAAACTTTAATTGGAAGGGGTTAAAATCGGAAGTAAAAAAATATATTAAGAATTGCGAATTATGTCAAAAAAATAAAGAAAGTAATAGGAAAACTAAGCAACCGTTAATAATTACAACAACGGCTACGAGGCCGTTTGAAAAAATATTCATGGATATAGTAGGACCATTATTAAAAACGATTAATAACAAGGAGTATTTGTTAACCATTCAAGATGATTTAACCAAATTTAGTTTAGCGATACCCTTAGAAACAACGGATGCGAATACTATTTCAAAACATTTCGTAGAACAGGTGATTTGTACATACGGGATACCGAGTTCCATACTAACCGATCAAGGGCAAAATTTTATGAGTAAAGTGTTTGCTAACGTGTGCAAATTACTACAGGTAAAAAAATTCACACTACGGCATACCACCCGGAGGGGAACGGGGCATTGGAAAGGTCACACAGGACGCTAAAAGAATATTTAAGGAGTTTTGTAAATAAAAAGTTAAACGATTGGGATGAGTTAATATCGTATGCTATGTATACTTATAATACGTCGATTCATACTAGTACAAACTATACACCGTTTGAACTAATATATGGTTATCCGCCACGAATACCTAATTCATTTTCGAAGCCGGTAGAACCGCAATACAATTATGACGACTATTCATTCATGATTAAACGACGAATGCAGGAGTGTCACGAGGTGACACGTGATACTATAATAATAAATAAGAATAAAAGGATAATTACGATAAAACGATGAATCCATTAACTAAAGGATCATGTAAAAAAATATTACTGAAGAATAATCAGATGAAAAATAAATTAGCATCTAAATGGGAAGGCCCATATGAAGTAGTAGAGTGGCATGACAATGAGAACATAACAATACGGAAAAACAATAAAAATATACGTGTTCACATTAACAATGTGAAAGCATTTGATGAGTAAATATTAAATTAGAATTTTGTTTGTTATTTAGGTTAGTTTTGGCAACTTCATTAGTATTAGATATCATATTGGCAGACAGTACGTACAATATATCTCAAGTACCAAATACTTCAGGTTTATATTACGAGAATGAAGGACAATTAAAATTAACAAATATAAATTGGAATATAATAACTTCCGTAAATTTAACTAATTATGATTTAAGAATAACTACGTTAAAACAATATTTTTTAATAATTGAGGTAGTATGTAGAAACGTAACAAAAGTAATAAAAAATGCTAAGTGTAATGATGTGAATACTACAATAAACTCATTACTAGAGGAAGTAGAAAAAAGGAAAAATCAGTATTTTCTCATGTTAGGAACTACACCCTCATCACGGAAAAAAAGGGGTTGGTTTAATTTTGTTGGGGATATGTATAAACAATTATATGGTACTCTAACAGAGGAAGATGCGGATGAATTTTCTACTCAAATTTCGGAATTACATTCAAGTAATTATAAAGTATTAAGCATTATAAAAGAACAAATTTATGCAGTTAAGTCAAATGTAGAACTTTATAATAATACATTTTTTAATATAAATAAAGAAAAAATATTATTAAATGAAAATTTTGGAAAAATAGAAAATCAATTAAAAAATATGAATGAATTAATTATGGATATAGAGTTAGAACAATTAGTAGAACAACAAATAATATTATTTAATTTAATGATAAGTCAGGTATTATTTGAAGTAGATTTATTAGGAGAGATTGTAACAGCAGCACAAGGGGGCGTTATTCATGCTAGTGTTTTAACACCGAAAGATATTTTGGAACAATTAAAAAAAATCGAAAACGATATACCTAAACATCAGAGATTATCAGTTCCACTGGACATAATAGGAGCTCATACATTATTAAGTATAGCCGATGTAGTATGTATATATAAAAATAAAACTTTAATATTTTTGATAAGAATACCTTTAATTGATAATTACGAATTTACATTATACAATTTAATACCATTACCAGTAAGTGGAAATAACGATCCATTACATATGTACATTAACCCAAAAATGGACTATTTAGCTATAAGTAAAGATTATGAAAATTACATTTCGTATAGAACAGAGGAATTAAATAAATGTAGACAAACACCAAATTATAAATTAT